AGCCCAGTGCAAGATCCCCTATGGATTATGTTCCGGTATTTAATGGAATTACTGTAATTTCCTTTCAGTGAATGCCAGTTAGACTGAAAACAGGTCAATAGGGGCTCAAAAAAAAAAAGGTGTTTCAGGTCATGGATGGGCAGGCAGGCTGTACCTATATGTACTTGTCATAATAGGAAGACAAGACTGTTCCTACTATGTCTGTACAAGCCCAAGAAAGGAGTGGCCGGTAGCATGACCCATTCATACCACAAACCACTTTTTCTCTTTTGAATCTGGATTGCTGCCCAGTCCTAGAAAACGCGTTTATATTTCTGTAAGCAAATTTTCCTTGAATTTTTGAGATAGCACCCGACTGATACTCCCCATTTCTGTGGCAGTAAAACAGCTGCTAAATAGTGCCATGAAATGGTCACTAAATCTTATCCTATACTTCTACTAGACTTGTGGCTGAAGTCAGCTGAGCAACTGAAGAAGAAAAACACTTGAAGTTTATTAAAGAATTGGAAGTACAGGAAGTGAGATTTAGGGGAATAAAACTATAAAGTTAAAAACTGTTGTCTTCTTCCAATATAGCAGAGATACTCTTCTGAGGAGTAGAGGTTCACTGCAATATTTTTGTTGCAGGACTTGGCTTCTAATTAACATAATAAAACAATTCACAAATGACTACCCCATCAACTTGCAAATTTAGTATCTACACAAAACCTGTGCAAGTTTTGCAAGTCTAAATTATGATATAAATACAGTTTTGTTTTTGATGTCTTCCTCCAGACCACCCTCCTATCCCCTACTCTACCAACCATCAATACACTCTTCCTGTCCTAGGTTGATTTCCAGCTAGGGAGTGGCCCATCTTCTACAGAATTTTTTTCCGAAGGAAGCCAAAACTATGTTGGCTTCCTTTTATAAATCCTGTGTATTTTCTTACCACTTCTTCCATTTTTGGTCTTTCCATAAAAGAGTTGCTATGGATGGAAATATGAAAATGTCTTTTGACCAATCTTGAAACACCCCTACAATCCCTGACACAACAAGATGCCAATTTGACTAATTTTATTTGACATGAATTTATCATAGCATAGTATTTTGGGCAGTTTCCTACCTTTTTCAAGTTTTGGCCCAGAAAATCCAGTTCAGTTTGGCTATGAATTGAGACCAACTCAGCTTGGAACCATGTGCAAATCCGCTGAGCCTGCACCCAAGATGAATGGTGATCAAAGAATTTGTATTCAGCATCCTGAAACTTTAACCACTCGTTACTCCCTGCAGAGAAAGTGTGAAAATAACTGGTCTGTCTTAGTGCTTTCTAGCTGTAGAGAAATCAACTATGCAGCAAATAATCACCAAAGCAGCCCCTTCTTTTACTTAGCTGGTTCCCCTTTCATTTTTTTGCTCTCCTGAGGGAAGAGTTAAAAATCCTGAAGTATTGGTGAATACACAGGATCCACCTCAATCTTATCAAATTTCTGTTCATCAACTGATATAGATGCACATTATCCATATTAGAATATAATGTTAATGAACACAGTATCTTGATCATAAATTTCTTGCCATCCAGATATTGTTAGACTACAACATCCTTCATCCATGACCAATGCACACAAGTGGGACTGACTGGAATTTGATTCCAATTGCAGTATGTTTCTCACCCATGATAAAATAAATGTCAAATCAAATTCTTTATTACAGAACAGTGACCCAGACTGAATAAAACTTATTAAATAAAACCTACATAATAGAGCTACAAGATAGAACATACAGATTAAAATAAAGCATATAGATAAAATAAATGTTATGCTGGGTCAATTTACAACACCATAACTTGTTTTTGAATAAACATAATCAAAATCACAAGCATAATAGAAAATGGTTTCCTGCCCCATAAGAGGGAAGTTTCAAGAAACATAACTTTCTCAATCCTTAAGAACCATTGGAAGCTGTATCTTCCACAAACATTTACATTAAATGGCATTTGTAATGAATGGCTCTACAACATATTGGAGCCACAAGATGAGTTTAGTATTATACTGTGCAAAGAAATGCTGTGTCCAGCTTCAGGCAATTATTCTTTCCTTTTTCAGTTTTTCCCTATCACTTATTCCAGAAACCATAACCATACTATACTCACAACAGCCACCCCCATTTCATTTTAGTCAACTTTTCCCTCTGCTGTCTCAAGCACTGATCTGACTTTTTGAGGTGGGGCCTTACTGACCTTGATTATTGGGCCTTCCCTTAGCACTTACTCAGGGATCTGCACTTTCTCACTGCACTTAATTTGCATAGCACATCTCTGAAGAGTGCTTCATGCCTATTAGGCCTCTGCAGGTCCACACAGCTTCTAGGGATCAAATCCTTTCTAGTTTTAGTTGATTAACAGAGAGCCTTACCAGCTACTTGCTGGAAAAAAACAAACATAATTCCTTTTTAAGAAACATAATCTATATTGCCAACTACAATATTCTGCTGATAATGTGGGAAACTGCTTGTCACCTATTATTCATAAAATTCCTAAAGCATAATACAAACCACAAAATCCAACAGAAGCAGTAACTTTGTTACCTATAATTTGCATACATCAGAACAGACATCTGTTGGGTGTACTAATATGATATTTAGATATAGCAATAGATATACTCACCTTGGATGGTTGTCTCTGGTTCTTTCACCTCAGTCCCTATTGAATGAATGAATGAATGAATGAATGAATGAAT